TGCACCACCACGCCCAGCTGTTTTTTGGGGGGTGTTCTTTTTTGAAACAAGGTCTCCCTGTAGCCCCAGCCGACCTGGAACTATGTAGACCAGGCTGACCTTGAACTTCCAGAAATCTGCCTGCCTCTGCCTCTCAAGTGCTGTGACTACTGGGGCGTGCCACCATGCCTGGCTTACGATGATGTACACTTGTAATCCTAGCACTTAAGAGATGGAGGCAGAAAAATCAGAAGTTGAAGACGAGTCTCAGTTACATAGTGAGTTTGGACCAGCCTGGACTACATGAGACTCTGTTTCAAAAAGAAGAAGAGAGTTCATAAGAACAGTGAAATCAGTGTTGCATCTCTGCAACCGGCTGTCATGTGATTATTGGAGGGTCTGGGAGGTAAGGAACATAGAGGCAGCTACAACTTCCCTCGGCTGTGAGCATCCTTGAGATCAGGATGGCTTACGTTTGCCTCATCAGCTCTGAGCACAAAGTGACTTGCAGAAGGTACTTACTAAACATGTGGGTGGCGTGGGGAATGAGTGCTGCAAGTGTTTAGCTAGAGAGATGCCTGCTTGGATGTGCTTAGCATTCATTAGCCTTTGGAAATTTCCTTTTTTCTCCAAGTTAATACATAAAGATACTGAAACCTTTTTCAAGTTCAAAATTCCTTGTAGAGAATTAGTGTTTGAAGGATTCATGTGATCATATTTTTCTTCTTCAGGGAGAGTAATCACCCACCTGAACCTCAGAATGGAAGGATTGTAGTCCCTGGAGAATGCCCAAAGCCATTGCTTACATATGTGTTGTAAACACATGACAGTGAGAAGTCAAACTTTATAATTATTGCAACTCTGTTTTCCTGTTCTTGAAACTGGACAGATGAAATTTTCTGGCTACTCTTTGAATATCTGCAGACCATGCATCATCTTGATTTACAGTTTTACTTTTTAGACTTCACACATAGAAATTAGTCAGTCACCAGAGCCAGCCATTGTGGTGTACGCCTTTGATCCCAGCGCTCGGGAGGCAGAGGCAGGCAGATCTCTGTGAGTTCCAGGCCAGCTGGGGGCTACAGGGAAGACCCTGTCTCAAAAAATACCGAAATAAATAAATAAATAAGCTATATCTTGAAAATTCAAGGTGTCTGATGGTAACCATTTGACTAAAGGCCAGTCCCATCCCAATAAACCCCAAGATAAATTAGATTTGTGGTCATGGTTGTGTTGTGTGCACTGTAAATAAGAGCCATGTGCAAGGCCTTGAAGCCTAAAGATGCTGTTACATCTTTAGTTGTTAGAGCATTTATCATGAAAATGTTGAACAATGCTGACATCACTTCATAGGTACTTGTAAAATGTGACCTATACAAATAATATTTTGTAGGTAACTCAACTGGAATCACTAAAATCAAAAGAAAATTGTAGCTCATTCTCAATGGCAAAGTAAGGCTGTAGGTCCCATCTCTCCAAAATCATGAAAAGGCAGTTAAGAATGTGTACTGCTCTCTCAGAGGACCTGACTTCCGTTCCCAGCACCCACGTTTTGTGGCTCACAACTGCCCATAACATAACTCCAGCTCCAGGGGAACCAACAACCTCTCTGGCCCCCGCTGGTGCACACGCACGCACACACACACACGCACATGCACACACTGACATGCATATATCTACACACAGAGACACATAATTAAAAATTAAACACTCAGATGCACTCAGGGTGGTGCGGTATTGCTGGAGACCTAATCTTTTACCAAAAGAAGAAAAAGCCAAGTTCCTGCTCAAATCCCTGGACGTTGAGGCTTTACATGGAGATGGTGCCTGTCACCTTAATTCTCTGCCATGGTAGAATGTCTGTCTAGCATGTGCAAGGCCCCAAGTTGGAACTCAGCACCACAGACAAGGGAAAAAAAGAAAGGAGGGAGAGAAGGAGAAGGGATGGGGAGGGAGAGAAGGAAGGAGAGAGGGAGGGGAGAAGGAAAGGAAGGAGGGAAACTAGGTTGTATTTTGAGTGAAATATACAACAGACTTGAAACTCAGCCTGCTTTGATTTGGGACCTTGATCTGTCTCATGCCTTTTGTTAACAGCTCCAGGCTCCAGCTAGACTTTCTGAGTTCCTAACTCTCCCACTTTCTCCCAGTGGACCATGAGCAATTTAACCATGCCTCGGTTTTCTCATGAATAATCAGTGTGCAAAAAACTCATTTCTCACAGGGCTCGAATGGGCTCGTAGACCGTGTAGTGGGTCCTCTCAGTAAGTGATGGGTGAAAGAGTCTTGGCCTCTGAATCGCTCACATCTTACCTCTCAAACAGGTGTGTGCACACTGAAGATTCCACTGGCATAGTCCGTTTAGTTCACCAGGGAAATCTAGTATATCCACCCCGGGCCAGTTATACTTCAGGCTAGTTCCCTCCCTTTGCTCAGGCCACAGACCTCAGCTGCCTTCATGGTACCAGCCCGGGCAAATGGCAACCTGGACTGGAAGAGGCCAGGGTGGGCCTGTAGCACAGTCCAGTACTGTCCCAGAGAAAGCAGCCCAGACCCCATCTACTAGAGCTCAGAGGCTCAGTCCCTCCTTCTGGCAGGAGCCCTCAAGGAGGCAGAAGGGGCTGGTAGAGAGACAGCCCTCCTTTGGGATGGGTTTCTGCTGGAAGTCAGGTGCATGGGTGGCACTTTCGGCCAGTTGGCCTATCTGGTAGCTGTACAGTTGTGGCCTGGAAGCCTAGGCTTTGCACCTTTGCACTCCTGGCCTCTGCTATGTTCAGAACCAATTCACAAAGTAATAAAGCTGAGGAGACATTAAGCTGAGAATTTAAGAGGCTGTAAGCCCAACTAGCATGGAGGTACACGCTTATGGTCCCAGCACTGAGGAGGCAGAGGCAGGGGGATCTCTGTCATATCAGTCAGCCTGCTCTGCAAAGCGGGTTCCAAGTCAGCCAGGGCTGCATAGTGAGACCCTGCCTCAAAAAAGGGGGGTGAGAGGCTAGAGAGATGGCTCAGAAGTTAAGAGCACTGGCTGCTCTTGAGGACCTAGGTTCAGTTCACACCCTCTTCTGGCCTCCACAGGAATTGCTCAATACAGGTGCACTTATATACATGTAGGTAAAACACTCATACACATAAAATTTAAATAAATAAATTTTAAAATAAAACATGGTCTGGAGAGATGGCTCAGTGGTTAAGAGCAGTGGTTGCTCTTACCAAAGGACCTAGGTTCAATTCCCAGCACCCACACAGCAGATAACAACCATCCATAACTCTAGTTCCAGGAGAATCCAACATGGGTACATCTACCTACATACAGGTAATCCACTCATACATATAAAATAAAACAAAACCCAAAAAATAGAAACAGCATGATCCATTTCTAAGTAGTACCGTGGTGATGTCTTGACTGCTGAACAGAGGAAGAAGAGCCATGATTTCTGAGCCACAGGACAATAAGGGAAAGGACATGGAGAGAACGGAGTCAGGGCCAGCTCTGGGGTATTCAAAGCAGATAGACAGCAACACTCACCTAACTTTCATTCAAGGACAACTCAGACATGATCTGAAGAAATTCCCACAAACCTGCTTGAGGGTGGCAAATGGGGAAGGGCTGTTGTCCCTAGTCAGAGAAGGGTAAGGAGCGAAGAAAGGGTAGAAGGAGCTGTGAAGTACAAGATGACTCAGATTTGCATGCTTCATGATCCACTTCCTAACATCCAAAATGTCCAGAGGGTGTCAGGTCACAAAGACAGCCAACTGCTTAGAGCAGCTCTCTGAAGGACAGGTGGGATATCTTCACTGGTCCCTGTGTTCCACACTGACAGCAGCCGCTTGGGTGAGACGAAAGGCCAAGTGCCCAGGCCTCATATCTACTCTGAGCTGGTCCTCGCTGCCCCTCTTGATTATTGAAGTGATGTGTTCCCCACAAACACTAGAACAGTGAAAGTGCAGAGAGGCCGCCCGTCACCCTTCAGTCCTAAGGCAGCAGCTCTGTACTTTACTTTTGTCTCTTTAATTCTGTGTACATTGATCCACAATGTTGGAATTGTAATATATATCTACACATAGAATCTTTTTCACTTACCATAGTAGATGCTGACATGAGCGAAAATCATAATTCTTGTTCTTGTTTTCTTTTTGATCATTTGTTTAAGATGAAATCTCATGTTAGCCCAAGCTGGCCTTCAACTTCCTATGTAGCTGAGAATGACTTTGAACTCCTGATCCCCCTGTCTTTATCTCCCAAGTGCTGGGACTATAGGCTTGTTCCCACCATTCCTGCCTCAAAAGTCACATTTCTTATTCATATATAGTCATGCTTTTTTTTTTTTTTTTTTTTTTTTTTTTTTTTTTAGAAGGGGTT